CGTCCTTTCTTGTCTGTCGAGGAATACTTAGATTTTGCTTACATGCTTTCCCAATTTAAAGGCTCTTGAGGGTATTTCTTTTTTAAAATGAGCTTAGGGTATGTGTCAAGGATATTCGTCCTTTTCTTCCTTATCATAAAAATGAAACAAATTCATCAAGGTAACCTCATTGATTTATGTCCCACTATCTTACAAGTCTTTTGAAAATCTTCATAATATTATTATCTATTAAAATCTTCCATCCTACTCTTCATCCTTGTGCTCAATAGCCTTACCAAGACTAAAAACAATGCCCGTAAACTTGAATGGTAAGGTTGATATAATCCAAAACATATGGTTTGGTCTGAGGGATGGTTAGCTTATAGTATCTCTGTGGAGTTGCTGCACTTTTTTAGTCCGTTTCTAAACTTGCCCGCTTGTTTAACAATGACTGCGCAAATAGCTTGAATGGTAGATGGTTTATATAATCCAGGAGATGATTTGTTGACACCCTCCGAGGGATGGTTGACATATGGTATCTCTGTGAATTAGTGTTCATACCTTGAAAAGTTTTGCGAAATTCAACCTAGACATCAGGATCTTTCTTGTGTCGAACGAAGACATATTGCCATTTCCTAACTCAATTACTAATTACTTTACCACTTTCATTTTCTAACTATCTAACGGTATACTTCTTTTCCCATGAGTTACCTATTTTACGCTTATTGTCAAAATTTTCGACGTATCCAAAAAAGGTTCTTGCTATGTTCCTATTAGACTATAGGTCACTAAAGATTATATTACTACAGATTATTCTTACTGCTGGAACATTAGTAGGCTGCTGACCTTTGTAGTGTAAGATCGTCATGTAAATCATGAATAGCACAACATGAAACCATCAGTGGATGCACATTGATAAATTTTAATCCTTGTACATGCAACCGTCCTTTTCTTCCTGACATGAAAGTAGTAGTATTGTGTAATTGTGTTTATTTCATCACTAGAATTAGTATTGCTTCGATGATCTTATATCACTCCCCCACTTCTTTTGTATTAGTTTCTCTTTGTTTTTTTCTCTCCTTTTTTTTTATTATAGATGCTGGACTATTTAAAGTACATTTCATGACACTTTCCACTTATTTTTAATCAAACATTACTTGTTTTCGCATTCTCTCATGCTATGTTTCTTATAAAAATCAAAAATAATAATGAAAAGAATATTATCGATCTTTTTGATCCTTCTACTCATAAGGAGGTTTGTTCTCTTTGTATCCACAAATCATATCTTTTTACCCTAGAGTAAATTATTGATGTAGACCTGCATTGATTAAGAATAAAAATTATTCTTAACTATGCCCACCTAGATCAGCTATGGTCTAATTTTCCTAAAGGATCAAACAACCTTCTTGAATCGCTTTATTCTCGTGAACTCAACATAGACGTCCAGATCACCGGACACGATAAGAATACACAGGAACAGCATCCGGAGGACCACCTACACAGCCGAGCAAAAATGTATTAAACACTAACTATAGATCGGAGATTCACATTTTTTGGAGAAGGGGATGGGGAGGAGGTGGCGGACACCAGCGAGGTAGCTACCGCCGGCGGCAGCGACGGCGAAGCTGCTTGCACGAATTCCTCTTTTCAGCTCTTTCATGGTTAATTAAATATGTTTATATATTTGATTTAAAAACAATATATGTTTATATATTTCTACTTATTTTGCATGACATAAGGAATTTACTAATTTGGCTAGCATTATTCCAAATTGCACTTTTATAGACAGTCATTGTTCTAATGTAATTATTGCTTCATTGCCAATGGATTAAATGCAAAATATACATATCTTTAGTAACTAAGTAGACATATAAGTTTTGATTTTCTCCCATTGCAACGCACGGGCATGTTTGTTAGTATTAATTAATTATGATTCACAACGACGAAATAAAAAAATAAATGAAAGGATTCATGTGTTTTTCTCTCTATACTAGGTTTGTGCCAGTACACATAACGTTGAGGCACTGCCTTAGATTGAGCCAAAAAGAACTTTCGTCTTATTTCACATATCGTGGTAACAAAAGATTCATCTCGCAACTACCGTTATTTTTTTACCTACATTTAATACTCCATGCAAGCGGCTAAAAATTGATGTGATGAAGAGAGAGTGAAAAAACTTGGAACTTTGATGGGATCTCAACAAGGCCTTAGCAATATAGGAGGGGCCTAGGGGGCCTCCATTGTGTTCATGGTGGTAAGGGGGGTGGGGGGGGGGGTGTTGTTGTTGCTGCTAGAGCCCACCCTGCACCCCCCTCTAAATCCACCCCTAACCGTAAGCTCTATAGCATATAATAAGGTTGAATTATACAAAAGAAATTAAGATGCAACTATATACATGAAGTGATGTTGTCTATCAAATATAGGATCAAGGTATTACTACACAAATCACTGACTGTGGAAAACCAATCTTGGTAATATCATTTATGAAGTTATAGAATCAATACTATGAATAAAGTTTACTTAAAGATTGATCAAATTTATAAAAAGGTATGAATATGTTTAGCAATAAATATATACTAAAAAACTATGCTCTTGATATTTTTTTGTATAAACTATACACATCGATTGATAGTTATTTAATAATTTTTATAAACTTAATCAAACTTGAGACGGTTAGACTGAGTATTATGTTTTACTTTTTACAGGACCTACGTACTACCTCTATCCTGAAATATATGGAATCCAGTTTTATCCTATGTCAAATTGTAGTAACTTGGACTAAATTTATACAAAAGAATATTAATATCTAACACATCAAACAGGTATACTATAAAATTATATTCCATAATGTATTTAATTAAGATAATTTCATGTGAGACACATTTTTCTTCTTTTATATAAACTTGGTCAAAGTTAATATAATTTGACTTAGTACAAAATTAGATTTCTTATATTTCATGACAGAAGAAGTATTAAGTTGAACTAGGGTAGAATAACATGCTAGCCGCGTAATCTGCGCAGACCACTTTGCTATTCTTTTACATAAAAAGGTATTGACGAATGACGAGTGAGGAGGTAACAAATGATGCGAGACACACACTTGATTGGCAGAAACAACAATTTCCTTTCTGGACGAATTAGACTGTTCCGAGCCTGTCACCGTCGGAAAGTTTCTGAAGAGCATGACATGGATGCCACAATACGCAGGTCGTACTAATGGCATGACGAAGACGAGCTGCCAGAACCCAAAGCAGCTGTAAAGAGGAGGCGTCTTGGACGTCCATCTCGATCAAAACATCGGTACTCAAGCACAACCGGGTTTTTGTAAGAACGAGAAATATATTAAGGATGGATTTTTTTGGGCATAAGATGGGAAAAAAGATGGATTACTGCTTCGTTGCAGAAAGCAAGCATGCTTGGCGAGTAAAAACAAAAAGGAAGGCGTTCTAGGCAACGGAAGTATACTGCCACAGTGGATGTCTGACTGTTGGCAAATGTGTGTGTGTGGATGCGTGGGATACATCGATTCCAATGCTGGTAGGAGTGGTAGGCAGGAGCCGCAGCAGGCTAGCTAGATCCCTGACCCCTCCGCTGAGCGTTTAGGACTTGTTTAGATACCCTCAAAATTCCAAGTTTTTTCACTTTCTTCATCACATTAATTTTTAGCTGTTTGTATGGAGCATTAAATATAGATAAAAAAAATAATTAATTACATAGTTTAGTTGAAAATCACGAGATCTATGATTAGACAATATTTACCAAATAAGACGAAAGTGATACTATTTATCGGTTTGAATTTTTTTCAATCTAAACAACGCCTTAGCTTTTAACGCAGCTGCAGGATCGGCAGGAGCAGGAGCAGAAGCAGCAGCGGCAGCAGAAGAAGCTCGTCAGTAGTGTGCAGGCCAGCAGTGGTACGAGCTGCAGCTGCAGGCCAGCAGCGGCAGGGGCGAGCAACAAGACAAGCGGGCAAGAGGAAGCCAATGGAAAAGGGCGTCCCACCGCCAAAGATATAGATAGGGAGTGATCGAGAAGATCTCACAGAGGAATTTCAGTGTCCCCACTCCCCCACCCTTTCTTTTCTTTTCTCTCTTCTCTCTCTTGCAACCTTCCTTCCAGAGCAGAGAGACGCAAGAAGCTTTCTCTCTCTACCACTGCACTGCTGTGTTGTGCTGCTTCCTTTGTTTCCCTTTTCTTCCTCCTCTCTCTCTCCCCTCTCTCTCTCTCATATGTAGCCATCCACCCATGTCACTGTCCTAGGCTGAAGAAATCGCAATAAAAATCGCTAGCAGCAGCCAGCAGGCTCGGAGGGAGGGAGAACAGGAGAAGAGAAAAAGAGTTCCCCACTGAAGGCTGAGTAGAATACTAGAGGTTGATGATGATGATGATGATAGGAACAGGACCAGGCATATAGGGCAGGGGAGAGGAGGCGAGTGATTAGGGGGAGATAGATAGAGACAGGGCGCTCGCTCTACTGCACTAGCTGCTCACCTCCGAGAAGATACTCCCAGCCCTCTTGGCGTTGGCGGAGCAGCAGCGGCTGAGCTCTCAGCTCAGCTCCGAGGACTGGAGGAGGAGGAGGAGGAGGAGGAGGAAGAGATTTTTATTCGGATCGGATCCACTGCGCGTAGCGTAGCCTCCTTTTTATCTGCTGCCGGCCGCTGCTGCTGCGGTGGGCGGCAGTAACGAAATCTAGGCTCTATCTGCAGCGGCGCAAGCAGCGAAATTTTAAATCTTTGCGGCTGCTCCGACCGCAGTCCGCAGCAGCAGCAGCAGCTCTTCTCTCTGCTGCCTGCGCGGAATCCATCCCCGGCCCTATAAGTGTGGCTTCGGGACGGCGCTTCCCATCCGACACCGGCGCCTTCGCGGACTGGGTCGCGTCCTCCGCCGCCGGGCGCGGGGACGACCTCTCCCTCGGCTTCAATGCCAGCGCGGCCGCCGCCGCGGCGGCCGCGTCCGCCTCTGGCGTCTCGCTGGGCGCGGGCCTCTGGGGCCCGGCGTCCTCCGCCTCCGCCGCCGCCATGCGCCAGGCGGCCGCCATGAACTACGGCATGGCCGACGTGGGGATGGTCGTCGTCGCGCCCGCCGCTTCTTTCCACCACACGCACTATCACCACCACCACCACGAGGCCGCGGTGGCGGCGGCGGCGGCGGCAGCGGCCTCCGGCGATCCCATATTCCCGCTGCTCTCCGGCGGCCCCTGCGTGCTTGATCCGGACGCCGCCGCCAAGTCGGCCTCCTCCGGGGCGCCCGCCAGCGCCATCCAGTTCTGGCAGCCGCCGCCGCAGTCGCCGTCGTTGTCTGCTGCTGCTGCGGGCGCTAACCCTAACCCTAGCGCCAGCCCCTTTGCCTACCTCAAGAAGCCCCTCCCGATGCTGGACGCCGGCGCCGGCTCCTCCGGCTCCGGCGCCACCACGTGCCAGGACTGCGGCAACCAAGCGAAGAAGGACTGCGGCCACAACCGGTGCCGCACCTGCTGCAAGAGCCGAGGCTTCGACTGCTCCACCCACGTCAAGAGCACCTGGGTCCCCGCCGCCCGCCGCCGTGAGCGTCAGCAGCTCGCCGCCTCCGGCTCCGCATCCTCCTCCCCCGCCACTGCTTCCGCGGCAGCCGTCGCCGCGTCCGCGTCCAAGAAGCCCCGCCTCTTCTCGTCGCAGACCACCACCTCGCACACGTCCACCTCTAACGCCACAACGCCACGAAGCTTCGACACCACCTCCAGTCACCAAGGTACGTTACCGCCATTATTCCATTCATCCGAGTCTCGCTTCGTTCTCTTCTCTACCCGCATCACATCCGCAGCCGGATCGACGACGATGTTCACCGACCCAAACCGTGCCTCGTCTCATCCCTGCAGACGCGTCGTTCAGGGACAGCCTCCCGAGGCAGGTGCGCGCGCCGGCGGTGTTCAAGTGCGTGCGCGTGACGTCCATCGATGACGGCGAGGACGACTACGCGTACCAGGCGACGGTCACCATCAACGGCCACCTGTTCAAGGGGTTCCTGTACGACCAGGGCCCCGACGACGGCCGTCACGCCGCCACCAGCAACGAGGACTCCACGGCGGGGGTGCCCAACATCTCTGAGCTACATCTCGGAGCGGCGTCTGGCTCCGGCGCCGCCGGCGTGAGGGTAGGCGGAACCTCGATAGCGCCCACGGAGCTGTACGGTGGCGGAGGACATCATCCGCACATTCTTGGCGGCTCGTCGAGCTATGGTAACACCATGAACTGATCGAGTACGTATGTTCCTTCTACACCGGAAGAGTAAGGTTACATCGATTTTCTTTGTTCCTCTTCTTTGCTAGTAGCAGAGTTCAATTTTCTCAGCCTTCTGGTGGGCATCAATGTCTGTCAATGCATGGTGTTATCTGTTCAACTTCTTCGTTCCATCGTGGTGTTATTTAGTCATTCGTTGGTGTATAATAACATCGATGAATTGTTTTTTTAGTTGTACTATAACTCTAGCAAAGCAAGTACTGCTGCTAGTTTTTTTTTCCTACTACTAGTTGGGTAGAGAGGAGAATAATTGTTAGGAATTGGAAAGAAGATAGCGCAAGATTAAATCTTTACAATTATGCATAAGATATTGCCTGCTGGTTTCTAGCCTCTGGTTCATATGCTCTCATGTTCCCAATGCCTGCCGTTCCGTTTCCACATTTGGGGATGTGTTCTCGCCGTGGGGGTCACCTCCAGCCCAGCAGCTTGAGAGCCGTGCACTGTTGTGCCTCGTGATTGATACTTGTTCAGCATCCAGAGCTGCAATGTTTGACTCCTCCCTCATCTGATTGGCCCTCTCTGCTCTTTGCGTGCCTAATTTGGCTTCTTGTGACCATGAGCTTCACTCGTTTCGCTGCCCTCCTTTGGTGTCTTCTCTTTTTCTATGGGTAGGTGTGGAAGGCATGGATTCTTGCCATGGCTTTGTGCCATCTGACGGAGCATCTTCTTCTACTATAGGTGCATTGGGACTTGTATTCTGGAGGCCAATGTGTAATAATGCATGTGATGAGATAATCATCCGGCTTAGGATATTATAAACCATGTCCAGCGTGCATGTTACTCCTATCCGTATGTTACAGCCTGGTTCACCGCCGGTGATGCTGCCCCGGCTTTCTTCTTTTGACACGACTAGAGGAAGAACGCCCTTTTCGCTTATTGTATCAGCCATGCTTATCAGCCATGATAAAGTATCAGCCATGTTTATCAGTGATGATAAAGTGTTTTTCTCTCACAACAAAACAGCATCAGCCATCTTATAAACCACAGAAACGATTAAGCGAACATGCTCGAAGAAGAGGGCGCAGGATCACGGTGGCTTCCTACTCCCTCTTCTCCTTATTCACGGTGGCTTCCTACTCCCTCTTCTCCTTATTTTTTGGGCAAGGCCCCCATGTTTATTCCTTGTGCCGGATCCCCTCGTGGTTGACAAGATGTGAAACGAAAGAAAGGTGTCCATGGTAAAAGCATTGCCATGCATGCACTGAGAGCCTGTGCTTTTTGGGGACGGCTGTTTGATTTGGTTCGCTGTCTTCCATTGCAGCAGCAGCAGTACTCCATTCATGTTTTTACAGTGAGAGCTTTGTTCTGCATTTCCATCGAGTGAGGATTTCTGCATATGGGTAGAGGGTAGTAGGCCTCTGTAATAAGTTTGGAGTAGTACTGTGGAGTAACTCTGTAAGAACACAAGTTCACTGCACAGGGTTGCATCTCCCGGCCCGGCATGAGCTGTGAACTTTTTCAAATTTGGGATTTGGTGGTGTTGGCCAATCTTGTCATCATCAAAGCTGCTATTATCTCATGTACGTGTGATCATGTCACTGGTCCATATCGTCTTGTCCACTGCCGTCAACCCTACGGGAGCACGCTGCTGTTCACATTGCTTCTTTATTCGGGGCTGCAGGCACTAGACATTATGCGTGCAACATAGACACCGTGAATTGTGGTAGGGCTTTCTTGCAAACTGAGGACTTGTTTACATCTTACTATTCCAGGTCATGCTCGCCTTTGTTTTTATCGTTGCCTACTTTTTTTACTCCATAATAGAACACTCTTTACTGGAATGGGTTTCCTGAATTTACCAATTGGAGTATTCGACGTAAAAATCTTATATATACTATTCATAATTGGTGACTACGGTTGTTGGCATTTTGTTCCTTATTTTAGCTGTACTGAAACCTAACTAAAGTAAGGTGGGCTCTTTGGGTGCCCTTTTTGGTTGTATGATTGGTTCAATCGTTTTGTTTTGTATACATTGTGGACGTAACTGCAATCTGCATATTTATCACATGCATAAATTTTCTTGTTGGCAAGTTGCATTTTCTGATGGGCCTCTATCCTGCACAATAAATTGGATGCGTCTAAACCATGAATGTCTGTTTGCTGTCTTTTGTTATTATGCCAATCCAATTGACTGGATCGACTTCCAGTCTTTCAGTTGCCTACGAAAGTCACTTACTATAGTGTTTATATGTTATTCTATTGCGATCTGAATATATTTAAGCGTGCATTTGGACACTATTATGCCAGTCCAATTGACTGGATCAACTTGCAGTCTTTCAGTTGCCTACGAAAGTCACTTAGTGTTTAAATGTGTATAATCTATTCTGTTGCGATCTGAATATATTTAAGCGTGCATTTGGACTGAACTCAAGTTTGTTTCTTGTGCTAGAAATTTCTAAATCATAACTCCATACATAAGCAAAAGGTATTTCTATTAAGCACTGAATCATCTTTCTAATACATATCTGATTCATATTGTATTGGCTGATTAGAGGAAAATAGTTTGGACTATTGAATTTCCAGTGTTCTAGTTAAGATAACTCCTTGTTTCCTTTATGTTTGAAGCATAGTGACTCTCCATATGTTTATTGAGAGAATGACTATGCTAATGTTGTTGTTGCCCAGCTAAAAATTTGGCCAGGTTATGTACAGAAATGGTCTGTATGCTACATCAACATACTGAGGACTAATCTTGTGTCAAATCCATGTTTCCTTTTTGGCTGTGTAGTTGCATTTTGTACACTTTCGGTGTTTCATGGTTTAATTAATTCGATTCGAATGCATGTCTAAAGAGGGGGTTAAAGGTTTAGTTAACAGTGTTGATAGATGGTGCATTATTCTTGGTTATTGTATATGTTACTTTTGAACAGGAGGCAGAGCCCATTTAACTATCAACTATGTTGTGTTTTTTATTGTGAATATTCTCCTGTTTGTTGCATTGATACGATTTTGGGTGAAATGAAGTCTATTAAAAGAAGTGGAAAATATGGGTGCTTTGTTTTGCCAAATCTTTGTTATCGTTGACGTACCCAAGTGGACTGTTAACCTTTACTTTATCAATGTATCATCTTTGAGTGTACCAGCTCTTTTGTTTTTGCCACTATCATGTTTGTTTGCCATTGTGACTTTACTCAACGTAATATGTTTTTGTCCATAATTATATAAAATTATCCCAGCATTTCTTGTACATAATGGTAATTCATCTAAAAAGTAAATACATTTCTGGGATTTTGCTCTCTTTGCCCTTAGGGCATTACTGAGTACAGACAAGCATGTGTTTATCCATGCCTTTTCGTTGTATCATAGTTCAGTGGGTGGAATCTGCTGCTACATCCAAAGGAATTATCTCGTCCTTGAGAAAACAAGTCTGTCTAAATACAATGTTCTTTTGAGTGGATCTTTTTTTTGGCACCACAGTGAATTAGATGCATATTTGACTTAGTTTTCGACCAATCCTACCTTGGATTTGTCAGTGGTAGCCATTAATTGAAACATTGTACTTTGTGTTTCCATGTGTGTTTTTTTGCTATATTACAGTGACCTGAATCTGCAGAACAAAATCATGGACATGTTAAAGGTTTTGTTTATTGTTCCCATGTTAAAGTTTGGAAATTATACCGCTACTTGCTAAGCATACATTGTTCTTGAAATATAAGTTCTAAACCATTTGTCGCAATTGCATAGGTTGGGTCACAAAGCAGTGATCTAGTATTGATTAAAGAAAACACTTGTAGCCGTACCTGTGCTTAAGGATAGTTTGATCAATTTCTTCAGAGAATTGTCATGACATGGCCATAGACAAATCCCTGGGCAGCTGGTCCTCTGCTTGGTGGAGTCCCTTTCTACGTGTGTGCTTGTGTGCCACTTTTTTTGTTGGCATCATTGTATAAACTTTGCTTGCAGTTTACTGCACTTATGAAGTTGTGAATATGCAGTAGTTTTTTTTAATCTCTGCTTTAGGCTTTAGGCTGTGTTTAGTTCGTGAAATGAAATTTTTTGGAGACGTCACATCGGATGTTTCGGGGATGTCGGAAGGGGTTTTCGGATACTAATAAAAAAAACTAATTACATAACTCGTCTGGAAACTGCGAGACGAATTTATTAAGCATAATTAATCCATCATTAGCGCATGTTAGTTACTGTGGCACTTATGAATAATCATGGACTAATTAGTCTTAAAACATTCGTCTCGCGATTTTTAACCAAACTGTGCAATTAGTTTTTTTAGTCTATATTTAATACTCTATGCATGTGCCCGTAAGATTCGATGTGATATTTTGAGGTGAAATTTTTTTTGAACTAAGCCGGGCCTTATTGCGGCATGCTTCCCCTTTTCGCTTGTTGCGTAGCTTTTATTGTTCCTGCGGGAATTGTCTGTGGCTCAGACGAGTAGACGGAACGGTAAAATTTGCAGAACTTAAAAGCAGTGGCGATGATCAAACGATCATGACAGGATAAAAAGGGAAAGATGTGGATTTTCACTTTACGAGTAGTAGCATGTTTCTTCTTCAGCTGCTGCCAGGTTCTTTACGGGAAGTATTTGTGACTGCAAAGAACATGAGCTCTCTACTATATGTTGGTGGTGTATTTGGATGAATACTAGTACATTGGATGGGCATGGGCATTTGAATATTAAAAACTAAAAATATGCCGTGTAGAGGTGCAGTGCCTAGGCATAAGGATGCGTTTGGTACTGCCTTGGATGGGCATGTAAATATAAAAAATATGAGTGCAGCGCTAAGGGTACCTTTGATAGGGATCTAGATCGATTCTCTAGAAACGTTTCTAATCTAAATTCTCTTTGGAAATATTTACTAACTAAATTGGAATCACTTCATGGAACCGTTTGGCTAGCTCCCTGGATTCTTGATATTATAAGGAGCTAGATTTAGATTTTTTTTTTTGACTAGTAAAAGACAAGAATCGGTTCCAACTCAGTCTCTCTGAAACATTTCTCTCTGGTAGCGTTTGGCAGCAGTGCCAGTGATCTAGAGAAACCAAAATGTTTCTCGGCTGAAAACATTCGTACATTTGCAATCGTGGAGTGATTTCACCGTAATATGTTCATTTTTATTGGAAAAAAATACACTTCTAGGATTTCGTATTTCAAAGGAGAAAAGGGCAGCTCCAGCAGTAGTTAAAAAAGCTCGCTTATGGCATATTTTATTTAGGAAGGAGAGAATGGTAAAACTCAAACTAGATGTCTTCATGATGAACTAATTTCACACGCTTTTCTATTATTCAGATGTCTATATTCACACATTTTTTCTGTGTTAGCACTCATAGTATATTTTTATTTAGCAAAAAGAGAGACTGATAAAAATCAACTAGATAGGTTCTTTTGAAGACCTAAACTTGAACATTTTTATATGATCCATGTCTTTGTTGACATGTTTTTCTATGTTAGATGCTAGGTTCTTTTTTTTTAACTTCGTATGAGTTAGCAAGTCACTTCTATTGTTAAGGATACCATAAGAAAAAAATGGCGGAGATTGTTCTTGTGAGGTCAGCCGTGGATACCATAAGGAAAAAAAAGGATGTGTTTGATTTAAGAAATAAGGTGGTCCATGTTATTCTTTCTCCTCTTTTTTTTTGTTTGATTTGTGTAATAAAATGGTTTGATATCTGTCACCACCTCATTCTTACTCCTCTTTTTATGCATGATGAATTGGTTGATTCGAACAAAATTTGTGGTGATGGACTCATGATGAAGTATGAGGTGATTCCATAAACCAAACACATTAAAAATGTTGGAGAATGTTCTCGTGTGGTCAGCCATGGATAACTGTTGTAGATCATGTGTAGGCATCTAATGCATCAACCAGTTGTATAAATTCAAGAGCAGTAGATGAAAAAGAGAAAAATATTGCATATTAAGTATCGGATGCTTAGTCTCACTGAATAAAAAAAACCTGGTAACATCTCTCCTGAGGCATTGGCCGAAAGATATGCTCTGTTCTACAACACTACTTCAGCTACTTGTAGCGAATGTTGAATTATATTTTTCTCTCACAACACTATAAACTGTGTTTTTTTCTCATAATATTTTAATATAAACAGCAGCATAAATTAAATTACAGCGAAATGAACAAGAAGATTATCTTCTGCAGGGTCAAGAACAGACCACGACCCTGGCTACTCAAAATGTGCCAGTAACGGTGAGGACGAGCCTATGGCCACGTATCGCGCTGCAACTGCTAGACGCTAGTGAACCGCATATTTCATTGAAAATAGCACTAGAATTCGCCTTTTTTGCGGGAAAACGGGGATTTGAGGTCCCAACCTATAGGAGAGTCAATAATTTTCCTCGTTACCACAATGATTCCCATGAAGCAACTGCTTTGGCAAGTTGGCCCGTGAATCCACAGACGACGAATTGGAATTTGGGTCGACGTAGGAGTAGATATTTCTCCCGAAGCAAAGATGGAGGTGAGGTGTTTTTCCATGGTGGTACTGGTGATAAGGTTCTCCCATGCCGTCCATTCCAACTGTCCTTGCTGGCCGGCAAGCAGGCCCGCTACCTAGTAGCTACTCCTAGGTACTAGGCCGTAGGGACAAGGCTTTTAGACGATGGAGATGTGTGCTCGGGCGCGCGGGGTACAGGGCGCAGGTCAAGTCACCAGCGCGTCGCCTTTTGTCACCGCCCATGTTCTTCCGTCGTCGCTGTGCTCGCTCGTACGGTCGTACCGCCCGGCCGGCGCTCGGCTGTGCAACGGCCAACAGTGCGACGATGCAAATGGATGCCCGCCTCGCTGGTCGCTTGCTCCGGTCGGCACGTCTCGCCGTCCCCGCCGCAGCCGACGGGATCGGCCGGCATGCGTGCGTGTTGGGCTGATGGGTCCGCGGCCGGGTCGTAACAGTGGGACAAGGCGAACGTGCGCCCGCACAGCAGGCACCAGGATCCGGACCCGGGGACCTCGCGGCATGCATGGCACGGCGGTGGCGTGGCGCGCCGTGCGGTTGTCGAGGGCGGAGGTGACGGAACCATCGAGGACACTGTTGCTTGCCGGCACGCCATGCTGTTGACGTAACGTGTTGGCCCACGCAGCTTAGGACTAGCCGACTAGGGGTAGAGTAGGGAGGTCTGTCTGCGTCGTCCCTCCGCCCTGCACGGTCGGTTTAGTCAATTTTTAGTCATTAAAATGCTAAACATCCATACTAAAATTTAGAGGCCAACAAAATTTAGTGGTTTTTAGTTACCAGAGATAGCTAAAAGAGTCAAAATTATACATGGGACAACTGCTTTACTGGTCTATAGTCACTATAATCAAATAGGGGTGATAAACTTTATTTTATGGGCCATTAAACTTTAGGGGTGAAACAAACAGGCCCTTATACAGGGGCGATGCGTGTCCGTACTGGCGCGGCGAGCCGAATGGCCCAACTAGCCCACCAAGATAGCAGGCAGGCTCTTCCTCGCGAAACGTATGGGCTGGCCTGGTCCGCAGTGCCGTACTTGACTTTTGTTCTCTAACTAATAATAATGGTGCTGTTCGTTCGTGCAATACCAGAGCAAAGTAATTGAGAGAGAGAGAGAGAGAGCGCGCGCGCAAAGCAGTCGTTATATAGTTCAAAAAAAAGAAAAAATCAAAGCACTATGCAGTTTAAAAAGGAAGAAAAACAGAACAAAACAGTCATTATATGGTTTTAAAAGAAAAAACGGAGCAAAGCAGTATATATGGATCAAAAAAGAAAAAAACAGAGCAAAACAGTCATTATGTAGTTTAAAAATGGAAGAAAAAAAACCAGACATAGTGCAAAGCAGTTGCTACTAATAAGACTTCAGAGACATTTGAATCATTCTAGCTATTCTAATCGGGTGACCCTCCAACCCTTGCTTCATTTAGAACATTGCAAAACAGGCTGAAAACCCAAGAATAGATATACTGCAACGGCCTTGTCAAACAAGAATATATTATTACCATCTGACGAAACTATTTGGTCAGATAAATTGCCACAATAAAAAACCCGTGCAGCATGAGTGAGCAACACCACAGATTGTTCGATTGCGGGACAAAGTTAGATGATGCAAAGGCACAGCAAGCTCGGACCAGTTAACAGGATTAATATCACGTCAACAGCGAGTGATTCCATATGGTTACAAGGTTGCATTGGGAAATTGGGTCCACGCCTCATTCGTGTCCCCACCATAGTAACACATAAATAATCACAGATGTCAATTGCATCCCCTAATAACAATGTAATACCTAAATGGTGTATCAAGAACGAGATACAACTTCATTGCTGCATCAGTCGTGCAGACGGCATCTGCATTTCTGTGCTGGATCTAAAACAGTCATGAGAAACTAAAACTATGTACAACGCGGCGGAAAGCTGCCATGATACAAGGCCACGCTCACACTCTTCACATTGGAAGATTATTTTGTGGCCTGAAGGGCTGCAGTGTTGTTAGCAGCACCATTACGCACACACCGGCTGGTGAGGTCACTCATTCACCTGAGGCCCAACCTCCGCGGGCACTTCAGGCTCAGGCGCTTTCCTCAGTCCCAGCCTCTGCAAGTGCTTCAGGTGCTTCTCTGCAGCTGCCCTGTCTGCAGCTTCTCGCTTCTGCGCCCGCTTCGCTCGCCTTCCAGCGACATCCTTGGATACAAACCCTGACCCTGATCCCGAACCTGACACGGACACTGACGCCGAAGATGATGCAGCTTTCTCTTTCTTCTTCGGGGTCCTGGATGGACCAGCAGCCGCATCAGTATTCACTGGCCTCGCCTCTTTCCTGCCTCCTCTGATGTACCCATTGTCACCCCATCTCCGGTTACCAATACGAATGCTCGGGGACCTGCTCATGTAATAAGATTCCTCATCAAGATCATCTTCGTCGTCATCGTATTGGTATTGCTGGTGGAAAAACTCTTCTTCTTCCAGAGCCTCTTCGTGAGCCTCCACGATGAGAGGTTCAAACCAAGCGGCCCTCAGGAGAAGGCAAACGCTCTCCTCAAACAGGTAGTCATGTAGGCTGAAGAAAAGAAACAGGCATTAAGCTCACATTCTACCTGAAACAGTTCATCCGCCGCACATTTCAGATGAACACAAGGGGTTACCAGCCGTCAAGAGAGCGGTGCACGCTGAGGAATTCGAATGGATGCTTGCACTGTGGGCACAGGGGGTTCTGCTTGTAGGATGCCCACCTCAAAATACAGGTTACACTGCATTCACAAAACGGATTTCAAATATAATGAGCAGTCGGCTTTTAGTGAGAAGATCATTATCAGATACAAAAGAGAGAAAACTGAAGTATCAATGCCACATCAATTGTAGTTTTATCAAGCACTAACACTGAAAACAGAAAATAGCAAGCAGAAAAATAGGAGGTTTCACCAGATGCTAGTCCTTCAGCATCAGCTGTGATGGATACATCAAAGGTATTTGCTGCTTGCTATCTCACACGGAGGCACAAAGTCAAACTCTATAATTCAATCTAGAGCTGAAAGCCACAAGGGTTGGTGAAACAACCATTCGATGCACAGCACAGCGTGGTTGGTCGGGCAAAGGGCGAGATGCACATGGCAACTGTGCTAGAGAATAAGTTGAAGTTATTAGTTACTACAAGGGAACACATGACAGTGTTCCCGAATAAGCTCACTGGTACTGGTGCCGCATCTATTCCTTAGGTCTAAGATGATAGAATCAAACTACATGTGTAAAGGCAATTAAGAAAAATCAGCTTGTGGTTCACAAAGTCAGGGCTACATTTGTAAATGCAATTAAGAAAAAAATCAGCTTATCAATCACAAGGTCAGGGCGTCATGGCAGCTTGGTAAGTGTGTAAGGTGTTGAATTATAGATTTGTAGAGCTACATGTCAGCAAGACAACGAACATAGCAAACGGCCTAGAAAAAGGGATCGCAATTGCAGTATGAAGCAAAGCGCTGCTAATTTGGGGGAAAGGTGCGAAATAGTCTCCCAAATCTAGGGATTATATTGCTATTAGAGCCTAGAGGTGGGGAATAACAAACAACCTAATCGTGATTCCACCGCGGAACTAAGATTATACCAGTAATAATCTGGAGGAAGGGGGAGAGGTGGGGGGAATTAGCAACGGACCAGTAGGCGTGGTCGCAGCCCTTGACGAGGGCCGTCTCCTGGAGCGCTATCCTGTCGAGGCAGATGGCGCACACCCCGCAATCCGCCGCCGCCGCCCGGTCGCCGCCGCCTGGAGCCTCCGCTGCCTATCACACGAGAAAAGTAAAAGCAAGCTTTATGAGATCGAGGGCCGCACCACACAAGCAGATCGGGCGGATCAAGGGCGGACCGGCCTGCCGGGGAGGGGAACTCACCTCGCCGAGGGAGACGCAGGTGCGGACGGCGACCGGACCCTCGGAGGAGGACGACGCGGCGGCGGCGGCCATGGCGGTGGGGATCGGGGGGAGGGAGGCGACCGGGCGGGAGCTTCTGGGGTCGGTCGGTGAAGGGAAGGGAGGAGTGGCCGGGATGTGAGGAGGGCAGGAAGGGGGGCCCTTGGCGAACGAACGAGCGCGTCCGGAGAAACAAAGAGCGGCCGACAGGGCGGGGCGGATCTTCACGTGAGATGCCGCCCGTTTATTCGCTCCGGCTTACGCGTTGCCACTGCCACCGACCCCCGGGTCGTTATCCGTGCGCCCACGGGCCAGATGGACGGGGCCGGGGCGGCGAGGCCACAGGCCCAACGGCCTATGGGCTGGATGATCTACGCGCTGACGAGTGACGACGAAGAACTGAGCAAGCAATGCGATGCGGATGCGAATGCGACCAAATCAGGTCGCTCACGCTCCGGAATCCTCGTGCTGGGGTTGACGAACCCCTCTGTGTCAGCATGGTACTTGGCTCCCAAGTTTGCTACCAGCAGGTGATGCGTGACAAGTTTGACTTTCCTTTATTTGGCATGCTCATTGTGTACTGCCAAAAGGGGAAAAAAAAGGACATCTCAGAGATGGTTTTCTAAGCACAAAAATTAGGTTTTGCAGGACCAGGATGGTTCTCAATCTATCTCTAAGATTTTTCTTGGTATAAACACCTGATAAGGATTTCAAACCACAAAATTGTCTGTAAGCTTACAAATTATGAGGGAAGAAAACATTCTTAGAGATAGATTAAGGCACTACAAACCCAAACAAAATATCTAGAGCTCGTGAAAATATATCTAGAGGCTACAAGAAATTATATTTAAAATATAGAAAAATTTGAACAATACCTAAAAAAAATATGGTAAATTCCAAAAAACATGAATTATAAACTTGTTTTATTAAAATTTCAGAAAAAAAATATGAGATAAAAACCAGCATGAATGCAATATTCATTCATGATGGGTACTTTCCCAATTTTCTGAGCTAAAACAAAACTTTGTTGTTTTTATAAATAGGTTTTCATGATTTTTACTATTTTATTTTGGGTTCCTCGTGTATCAATCTATCTCTAGGTTTTTTTTTTGGAAATTTTTAGAACCCTACAGATATATCCTTCCTTGGTTTAGAAACCATATCAAATGATTACTTTTTAAAAAAATTCAAGAACGATAAAACCACTGTAAAACTGGCGCGGGGAGATAATAACTTAATAAATGGTTTTGAAAGTCAAGCGTGGCAACTTGCTCGGTTTCAGAGTTTGATGAATCGAGAACCTGAACGAGCTACGGCGATAGTTGAAGATGCAAAAACTGACTTTTCGCACGCGAAGATGGATCCGTTCCCGATATGAAAAGCCCCGGCGAATCGCCTGTTAAAATCTCAGCCCATTCTACGGAATTAAAGCACGATGACTTGTGCAGCCGCGTGATGCTGATGCCTGGCGCCCAATGATTTCATTCGTCGTGCATGCCATGCCTGTGCCTCCGGCTCCGGGTCCGGCCATGGGCAATACTATAATGCATGCATGATCCGCCAACCAGCTTAATTTGTCGTACGTGCCCATCCAACTGCAGATGCATCGCCGGCAATAGAACCCACACGAACGGAACGGCGGCGGCCGGGCATCTGTGTACCTACCGGACGTAGGCGATGAACGTTGGTTTCGTTCAAGCCCGGCCACGCAGCCCTAGTATATCTATCTCTGCCGCATGGACCAAGCATCATGCGTATGGTGATATGGAGAGATGGGTTGCTGCGCGCGTTCTTGGCGCCTTGCAGTAGGCAGATGCAGACGACGCATCGTCCGAAAATATATAAGGATGTGTGTCGGTTGTAGCCTCCTGTCCAAGCTCAGTTTAGCTCAGTTTGGTTGTATATTTTTGGCCTGTAGCTATGCTCAACTAATGCACCGATCACCGCTTGGCCACGCTTGCTAAAAACGCTCGCCCCCTCGTTCTCTTGGAGCCTGGCTTGCACAGGAGCCATCCCCGATTCCACTAACCTCTTCTCCATCCTCTACCTCTCCTCTGTCACGCCGGACGCTGCCCCAAGCTCCACCCTGCACCTTCGTCGTGCTCCCCCGTCGTCTCTACCCTCGCGCGCCATCGGACTTCGCCCCGCCGGTCAGCGCCGTAGATCCGCCATCCACCTCGCGCTTCCAATCGCCAGCCGCCGGCCTCCACCCCCGCCCTGCACATCCTCCTCCTCCTCCTCCTCCTCCTCCTCCTCCTCCTCCTCCACGGGCCCCATGGCCACAGTGGTCGTCCTCCTCCCTCCGTGCGCGTCGTCGACCTCCGGTTGTGCGCTCCGTGCACTCGTGGCAGACCTCTACGTCCTCCTCCTCCACCTCCGTGCGCTCGTGGCTGACCTCCTCAAGCGGCGCCGACGCAGTCGTGGTCCTCTACCTCCGTGCAACTCGGATGTGTGCTCCTTGCCTCCTCCCATTGCTCGGATGTGGCAGAAGTGGCAACCGAGGCGGTCACAGTTGAGCATGCCCACCACATGTTCAACAAAATATTTCAAGAGGGTGAACTTAGTTTCTCGGAGAAGGGGTGATTCTATGCAAACCAGTGCAGACAACCAAACACATCATAAGCTGGTCACTTAGACAATACAACCAATCAAACAACCGGGCATTGACTTGGCGGGAGCAAATTAGGCTTAGATTGCTAGCCCAGACTAGAAGGAGCCTTATATAGCCGTCTTTGGCACGGCTCATCTAAAACGGCTTTACCGGTGAAGTTAAAGCCGGTGAAGTCAGAAAAACTGGCTTTTTTCGGCTTCTAGTTTATTTTAACCCCGACGTGCCTCGATTTATGCAAGATAGATGAAGCCGAAGCCAACGTATGCTATGCCAAAGAGGCCCGTAGTATTGCGGGTGCGTGCGTGCATGGACATTGCTGCATATTCACAGGAACTCTTATGTCTTGTCTTGCCGACAGTCTTGGATCGGCATGGCCTCCCTCCCTCCCTTTGCTTGGACCCTTCCTGCTCGCAGGGAATCTATCTGTTTGCATTGCAGTTGCAGGCACGCCGCAGACGCGGAGTAGATTAGCAGCTTGTTGGCTTGGTCAATGATCATAAATTTTCAGTCAAAATAGCGTTTTTTTATACTAAATCAGTTAATAGTAAATAATCCACGATCGTTTACGGCCTCCCGATGAGGCTAGTTTTTTTTATTTTACACGAGCGCATGCATGCAATCATTCCGTTACAATGATGCATGCATGGTCCCGCCCGTCTTTGTTTACTTGTGATCATTAGTGGAAAGAATGGACGTGCTTAATTCATCAGTTCACATCGATATCGTTCAGGCCAGTAACGCAAAGATTAGAGAGTCTGAGATCTACTGCTGTGCATATACTGTCCGGTGTTCACCGTATAATTGGACGTACTGTAGTGTTTGTCCGAGCATGCATGCAAGACGGTCCCCCACAACAATCGGACACGTACAAATGTCGATCCTACGCTAACGGGGTGTTTTGATCGAGGACTAAAGCGTCACATCGTATATCATATCTATTATCATGTCAGGTGTTCGGATAATAATAATAAAACTAATTATAGAAGCCATGATTAATTCGTGAAACGAATCTATTAAGTTTAACTAATCCATCATTAACATATGTTACTGTAGCATCATATTATCAAATCATGGACTAATTAGGTTTAATAGATTCGTCTCATAAATTAGTCTCAATATGTATAATTAGCTTTTTAATTAATCTATATTTAATATTTTAAATAGAGTTAAACATGTTTACTGTACTGACGTGATAGGGACTAAGGTGAGGAGCAAACACGCCCACGCAAGATGACGCCACAAGAAGCAGTCGGCTCGACTCTGAACTGTTTTCGGAGCAAGTGCCAATGAGCCTGCAAGCCTCTCTGTCTTGTTTTTTCGCCTAGCTATCTATAAAGAGGCCAAGCCCGTCGCTCACGGGTCACGACCACTGCACGCCATGGTCGTCCTCCTCCAGCAAAAGATCAGCTAGAGCCTAGAGGGACGACTAGTACTACTACATTATTGCTACAGCGTCTTGCGACGTTTGCCAAATCGAGTTCGTTGCAGCAGCAGGTACCACCGTCTAGGTTCGTTGTTAATTACTTGCAGTACCAATCTACTAGGCCGGCCGACCATGTCGCGCCACCGGCGGCAGCCATCCCGCGCGCTCCCTCTCGATTTCAACATCGACGGCGGCGACGAGGGGCCAGCGGCAGACAAGGGCGGCGCCACGTCGATCGACGGGAGCCAGCAGAACCCCCGTGCCGGTGGCAGCGGGGATGCCGGCGGGGCAGGCAAAGGGAAAGGGCATGAAGGGCAGACGACGAACAAACCGCCGCCGCCGGCCACTGGCAGCCGGACTCCGTCTGATGGGACGACCGGCGGTAACAAGCCGCGGCACGACGACGGTACCCGTGGTCGTTAGAGTCCAAGACCAATGCGGCGGCGGCTAGCATTCGTCTGCACGTACGCACGGGTACGGCGCTTTATATGTGTGTCCTAGCAGCTCCATCCGGTTGTGTAACTTATAATCTTATACTGTATTATTAGATAAGCTCGATCGTCATCGATCTGCTGCTTATGTAGTTATGTTATTAGTGCCATCACGGTGGTTTCATTCGGGTAATAAAAAAATCAGCTGTTTTGTTTGAATGTAAGCAAACTTCCCTTGCCCTCGATCTCGATGGGGTTGTTCAGTTGTTGTTTGGTTTCTTTGCTCAGGTCGTCTTACCATGCTGAGTAGGACATTGAAGAGGAGATTTTGCGACCCTTGTTCACAGTTCGCGCAGTGCAGTGATCGCATCTGCATATACCTCTGACGGCGACCTCGTCGGTGAGGAGCGAGGTCAGGGCGTGAATCGTGCGACCTCATCGTCACGTTTGTTTATGTCCCTGAAAAAAATGTTATACTATACCCTAAGTACCTAAAAGATACTCCATCCGTCCCAGATTACAAGTCATTTCAACTTTCTTTAAGGGTCTTTTATATCCCTCTATTTTGGAGGAATTAAAATCTACAAATGAATTAGACTATTTGGCTTAATTTGATATTTCATAACATTTCCAAACTCACAAATAAGTCTATCTTAAATTCATAGGGTATGAGATGGAAAATTGATTCTATAGATCACTATGTTATAATTCTATTCTTCAACTTATAGCACACTCTTCAACTCACTTCCCTACAATAGAAATGCAACATATAAGTATATCCATTGTATGCCTAACAATAAATATACAAATATATTCCATATACAACTGTATTAACTTAATTAATCTATGCCGAAATTGTAATAATTAGAATGAATTCAATTCCAAGGATCCAAATGGGCCCTAAGAGTCAAACTATCTCAAGTTTGACCAAAATTATAAAAAGAATTACAAAGATTTATGACATCAAATAGATATAGTATGAAAAAATAATTTTCGAAGAATCTAATGATATTTATTTAATATCATAATTTTTATTATTTTATTATATAAATTTGGTCAAACTTGATATTGCTTTACTCTCCAAAAAAGCTAGAATAACTTATAATATGGGACGGAGTGAGTATGACTCTTAGGGTCGACCTAAATAAATGTCTAATAACGGAAGTGATGATCAAAAAGGAAACTAGTCATGGTCAGTGTTATCTCTGCTGCGGTAATTATTATTTTTTGAATTTTATATCTTTTCTTCTGACATTTTTATCCCGACTGGATAAGCTGTCCACAAGGCGGAGGCCCATGGGATTTTGGCCCACATACTTGACCCCTAGGACATAGCGGCATTGATATATAAGGCCCACGAAAGGTTGTGGCAGTGTTGTCATGTTACAGAACGCAGAATTGCAGACTGTCGTGTTTCACTCCTTGTATGTAAATGTAAAAAGTAAAACATTGCCACTACCACTAGCATACTGCATCCTGTGGTTATCGTTCCATCTGCATATTGTTTTGCCTGCAGATCGTTCATAAGTTCGTTTCGGAATGAATCAGTCAGACCTCAGGTTCAGGCTCGCGTGTTCTCTGGATGTGGTTTACTGGCTTGTCTTGTCGTCGCCAGGCACCAGTAGACATGAGTTTAGCCAGAGGTGATCATTTCTTTCCTCGACTCAACTGCCGTTTATGGTTTATAATCAGTTCAATCATTCAGCTCAAACCCAGTTTATGGCTGTCAAGAAATGATGTCACAACTGTAGCTCGAGATGAATTTTGTACTGCCCAATCTAACATGCAATTGGGATCACACCGGTTGTTCTTATTTTTGTATAATACCGAACATAGTCGCTGGTAAAGTTCAGCAAGCAAAACTACAAGCGGGCGACATAACAAGTTTTGTTCTGCACTACTGGCTTACCGCCACCGAAATGTTTAGTTGCAGAGAATTATTCATGACATCATCGAGCATTCGGTCTACTAATGAATTTATCGAATGCTCTGCTAATGAACTTGCCTCAACGAGCAAACAAAAACCATCGATCAATTGACCTGTTCAGAGTTTGCAGGCTTCCCCTGGAGCCTGAGCGCGAGATCTTGCAGCGCCAGGAGCAGCTTCCTGATCTGCTCCTTCGTCTCCGGGTCGACCAGCAGCCTGTTCGCTTGGCTGGTTCGTTTCGCTGCTGGTTCGTTAAGAAGTACTGCTAGCCGATTTGTGTGAGAGAAAAATACTATTCCGGCTAAAAATTTATGATCGTTTACAACGAGCGTCAGCCAAACGAACAAGCTGCCGTCGTCGTCAAACTTCCTGGGCAGTTGATGAGCCTTGGTGAACACCTCCGGCTTGATGACGAAGTGGATGCCGAGAGCCACCCCGACGCGCTGAGGATCGCGGCGGCTCTGTCGCCCCAGCGGTTCGGTGGCCGCGACGCCCAGTCCAGCGCGTTCTTCAGCGGGCCTGCAGGGGAGGGAGGACCGTGGACAGCACGCAATCAGACATGCGAAATGCATGGAAACTCTGGTGAATAGTAGTGCGTTCAGCCAGAGTAGAGTGATAGGAGAAGCGGCCGGTACGTACGTACCTGAAATGGAGTAGTTGTAATCGGGCGACGCGAAGAGGAAGCAGTCGGCGCCGCGGACCCTGTCGCGGAACGCCTCGACTGCCGGCGGGAACGCGCCGTCGGCCGCCTCCAGGTCGGTGTTGAGGAGCGGCAGGTCGGACATGTTGACGTGGTCGATCTGCAGGCCTGGGATGGACTCCCTGCAAATCTCTGCGGCTGCACACACACGGACACGACGGTTCGCGACTATGACGAGATGCATGTGTCTTGACGTCGTCAACCTTTTGCTTACGGCAGCAATGCCGTGGCCGTTTCCCCTCTTCCTGGAGGTTGCTAGTTGTTAGCACTGGAACGAAGCTTCCGTCCATTTGTTGGTTTGTGGTGCGGGTGCCGTGCCCCATACGAGGAACCGATTTTTTTAGTTTTTTTTTGAATTTTTTTCATAAATATGGTCATATGTAGGTATGCTTTTAAAATTTGGACCATAGCTTGGCGTCATCGTTGGTGGCGCCGAGCTTATACGTCTCGGCGTAATAGATTCTGCCGCCCTAGGTTGGGGCCATGTTGGCGGCGTGAACGCTGACATGGTAGCCAGCTCGGCGCCGTGGATCTTGGCGCCAAGCCCTGTCTTACGTATGGGCCTTCCATTCCTTTCTCTCTTCCTCTCTCTCACTATCGCTCCCGAGCCAGGGCGCCGCCACCGCTGTCGCACCACCACGTCCACCGCCGCTCGTTGCCCCGACCGTCCACGGCCCGGCCCGCTTTCACGCCATCCGCCTGCGCCATGGCGAGCGCCGGGCTGTCCCACGCCCAGCCTCCTCCCTCCCTCCCTCCCGGCTCGCGCCGCCTCGTCAAATCTGGCCTGACTGGCCCCGCGTCGCCACAGCTCATAGGCACTCCTCCATGAGACCCGGCCACAACACGGCCCTGTTCCAATGACGCATTGACTTGGACAGGTGAAATTTTTGAATATGCAATGTAGGTACTTAGTTAGCTTGAATTGTAATGCTACTTTGATTATTTGGTAGTTTCTACTAAATTTGATGATGTAGGTAGTTTATTTAAATAGTGAGATTGATATAGTTAGATAGCTAGTGACATAGATACATAGATATAGTTATTAGATAGATAGTTGATTTAGTTAGTGAGATAAATAAAGTTAGATAGCTAGTGACATAGTTATTTAGCGTGTAGTTGGTTAGTATCTATTAGAGAGGAACTATATAGTAGCTACTTTGGACTAAACAAACTGTATTTCAATTTTTGTTTGAACTAGTTGATGGCACCGTGGAAAGAAGTCGCTATGGATATGTTGAGTTTGTTGAGATGCAAAGCGTGCCTGTGTTATTCAATAAGAAGCCTTCATTTAGTGAGTTGGTTGCAAGGGCTCGGGAGGAGCTACATTGCCATAGAGCTGATGATGATGATGGCATTGCAGTGGAGGTTGTACTTCACCTAGATTCCCCTCCCAACATCCTAAGTAAGATGATCCTAATTGGGTGTGCAGACCAGTGGGAGAATTATGTAAGATTGGCTATGAAGTATTAGTTTCAAAGTTTGAACGTGGTTGTGCGTCGGGTGTTAGTTGATCCCATCCCTCATGGGTTTTTCCCAACAATGGGTCAGCAGGCACACTTCAACCCTCCCGTCCTAGAACCTAATATGGATGTGGAGGTTGCACCTACGGTTCCCGATGCTCAATGTGCCCCTAATGAGCTAGTTGGAGATGCTTGTCAGACTTATGATGTTGTGATATATCCTCCTCATGAGATCCATTTGACACAGAATCATCCGAGTAAGTGTCTTATCCACATAATTATTGGGAGCTTACCCCCTTCCTTACATCCATTTTTTAAGTTCTTTCCTCATTTTTCAACTTATGTTGCATGAGACATTTATGACAATGTGGATGTGTCCATTGTTGCTGCGTAAGTGCACTGTGGAGATGGATTCCGTGGCTCTAATAGTGTTGAAATTATGAATGATTCAGAGCCATATGAGATGGCAAGGGCTCTTGATTCTGATGATGATCGCCCTGTTGGAGAGCTGACAGAGAGTGATGTTGAGATGCTGAGGCGTATCTTTCCCGGTCGCCGTGATCCAAGAGTTCACGAGTTCAGCGATCTTGCTCAGTCCGATCAGGTGTGTGCAAAGGACGTGATGATGAGCTCCTATAAGCTCCTGAGGCTGACCCTAACATTATAATTGAGAAGGATAGGGTATTCAAGGACCTCCCATTTGAAGATGTGGTTGTAGGCGTTTCCAGTGATACGAAAGAGACCTTACAAGGTCTTACATTCATATGTAGGCGTCGTTACATAGTTATTTGTGACAAGGAACGCTGCACATGGAGGGTTTGTGCAAGGAAGCAAAAGATCACCAAAAAATGGAATATCACAAAAGTTGTCGGCCCACACAACTGTGCTGACACTGAAGCATCGGCAGTTGTCATCTACCCTCATTGCCAAGCGATTGATGGGAATATTGTAGGTAGAACCCAACATAAAGGTTAGGATAATTATGAGGACCGTTGAGGCGTTGTATAGAGGTTATGTGATAACTTATGGTAAACTTTGGAGGCCTAAGTGCGAGCGTGGAAGATGATATATGGGGACTAAAAGAATGGGTATGAGCAGCTGCCAATACTTTTCAATGCAATCAAAGCGGTGAATCTAGGCATGCATTATGAGTATATCCTAAAACCAAATGCATAGAAGGATAGGAGGCAGATATTCTTCCGTGCTTTCTAGTGCTTCCCTCAGTGGGTCGAGGCCTTTAGGCACTGTCGTCCCGATCTAATAGATTGATGGTACATTCTTGATTGGCAAATACCAGGGCACACTTTTTATAGCCATATCCTGAGACGATAATAACAAGTTGGTTATTTTGGCATTTGCTTTAGTTGAGAAGGAGAACAATGACAGTTGGGGATGGTTCTTGAGGCTAGTCCGGATACATGTGGTTGGGCCTGGCAGGGAGGTTGGCATCATATCTGATAGGCACAAGGGCATACTTAATGTCGTGCGAGAGTAGATAGAGGGGTAGGCACAAGGGCATACTTAATATCAGGCGTCACTCGAGCAATATTTTGACTTCTCTGTATAGATGACCATCTTGCAATGCCTTTTGTAAAAGTAACTTACAGCAACCAACACAAAGTGACAATCCTTTTGATGAATAACTCCCATAGCAACTTCGCTGAATATTTATTGACTTTGATATTTGAATCACGTAGATATGCAATAATTGGAGTCCTTCAATCACTTGAATCAACTTTAGCATCAACAGGGAGCAAATCAAGCCAATTTGGGGGGGAAATTGGCCAATTTTTGGAACTGGCCTAGCCGGTTCTTCATCCAGCACACCCAGTAGAACTAGCCTGGCTGGTTCAGGAACTAGCCTGGCGGGTTTGGAAGCACCCAAAACAGCGATGTGATATACCGGTTCCTTTTAATGTGAAAATTCCATCCACCAACGTCATAACCTGATGCCTCTTGAACCAACATGTTTGATTTATGATTCTCATGCCTCGGAATATGCTGAATTTGGAATTCGACAAATTGCTTGATAATGTCAAGGCATGTGTCAAGATGTGCAATAGGTGATCCTTCAAAATATTAAAACACACTAGCAACTTCCTGTACCATCAGTATAGAACCACCAAAGGCTCTAACATATTTTACCTTCAAGGATTGCAATATTGCCAAGCCGAATAAGAAAACTTTACATTCGGCTCAAATTTTGGTGCAAATGTAATTTAATCGGCTTGATGTTTCAAACAATAGCATTGTGGGAAATAATGATTATGCCAACACTTTGGCCTTCTTTAAAAGCCGATTAATCATATTGTCACATCCATGAGGTAAATTTAGAATGCATATATCACCCCCCGGGCCATAAAGCCACCAAAGTAAATTTCATGGAGGGTCTTCTCATAGCACGATGGTTTGCAAGCACTCATCGGCTATATTTTTATGCTAAGGGCGATAACAAAGTATCGGCCATATGAATTCATCCACAAAAGAATGCATAATCGAAATATAATAATTCGACTCTTGAAATAGAATGTCATCGGTAATCAAAATCGTTTGACAACCCTCCATAATATAACGACCCATACCAAGGATAAAAAATAAGGAGCTGAGGGATAACCATGCATACCTAGGTATGAATTCCACATTGGCATAGGCAGATAATGTGGATAATGCCATGACCAATAATTTTGATGATTTGGTGCAAACCTCGAACTTGGCAATTGTTTCTTAAATCTCCTTCTCTCCTTTGCCTTCATTGCATGGCTTAGTTGTGCATCATCCTTCTGAGCTTGAATTCATCCTTTAGGAACTCACACCATGCCCTTTTCTTTCAGCTTCTCTACACTTAACTTTTGTAGCTTGCTTTCTTGTCACTTTGGTAAACCGATTGAGTATATTGATTTTATTTCTATTTTGGACAACAACAAATCTTTCTTAATTTTGGGCACTCTCACCTTCTTTTGTTTATATTTGGCACCAAGAATATCAATAGATGATTTTTTCACTTCTTTGCCATCAATAGCCGGATTTTTTAGCAATGTAATCGGCTTTTCAACTATTGAATTTAGAAATGAACTTTTCTTCTTTTGGCCATCATACTTCACACGGTAAACTTATTTTACCATCTTCTTCTTAGGTTGAGCTCTGGACCGATTTTGATCAAAACTGTCTTTATAATATGATGATTTCTTTGAGTTTGTTGGAGCTGCATACTTTACATATTGTGGCCTAAAGTATGATGGAATATGTACCTCTTGATCAAACCAGCCCCAAGGTGGATAAAGATAAAAAATAGTGAGCTGTGATCCATATGGCGTAGGAGCTGGCTACTCAAAAGGATAATATATTGCTGCTACGTGTGATCTATTCCTTTGCCCATTCCACTTTTGAGATTTGTGCTTTGGAGGCAATCTTGATAATGGGACCTTTCTTGGCCGATTAGTGACACTCAATTATGCTTCCTCCGTATATTTAGCTAGAAGTTCTTTGAAGCTGAGCTTCAGCCTTCTACTCATTTGATTATCATGTCCTTTACCTCCATCGGCTCTATAAACATCCTCCTTCTTCTCTCCATTTTGATAGACATGTTCCATGGTAGAATCCTTAGCCGATTTCCCTTGCTCAATAG